AACGTTAGGAAACAAAACTTCCAGAACACGGCCACACAGCCCGGAAGACCCACACCGGCCAATTGGTTGGTAGTTTTCAGCTAGGGCTCCAATGTACAGTCTACAGTAATAATTTATGGACTGCATTGGGGCATTGGTCAGCTTCTCAGACAAGCACTTTCTTGGGAATAAACTGCTTGATAATTTTCTCACCCTACTGTTGATGGAAAATAAAGAAAAAAAGAAGGCCTACTCCTGGCACGTAAGAAGGAAGATAACGAGAAGGCATCTAGTTCATTTCACAGTTAGGAATATGGTAGGGATCCTTCTTTCATCTCACTAGATCTTTTGCATCACAGTGACTTTTCCCGGCCCCCACACCCTCCCAGTCTGCAAACTACCACTGCTAAAATCATTTGTGACCAACAAGCAACATGAAGGCACATATCAATTACCAAGGGTGGGATCATGGTCTCAGGCCCTTAGCATGAGGCCATATTTCTAATGATATGTGTAAGGCAAATCTGTGATTAGTATCTGCCAATATCAGACGATTGAGTTGTCAATATCTTTCTCAGGTGATCTTTCCATTCTACAATGTTTCACAATCTTTTCTAGCTGTTTACAAACTTACAGACTTCAGCAATGCCTAGGTTCTGTTCTCACTTTCAGGAGAACAAAGCAAAAGATACTTCCATGACTCCTTGAGTCAAATGTCTTCTATATCCTTTCCTGCAATATCTGAATACAATTCATGTTGATAGCATTTGACTGATTGCTTTGATTCTCACTCAGAGATGAGTGTTCACCTATCATGGAAGTTGCCTGATGCTTAGCTTGGTCAGATGAGTGGGGGAGATCTGTTAGTGCAGAAGCTTCATAGCTGGAAGTTTTTATTGCTGATACACACTGGATAATTGAGAAAGCCAAAGAATGTCAAAAAGAAGTCAATATGTGCTTCATTACTTATAGAAAGGTGTTCAGTTGTGTTGATTACATCAAGCTGTGGAATGTGCTCAGAAAAATGGGACTCCCAGAACATCTCATTGTCCTCATGAGAAAGCCACAGTATGGACAGGACGTGGTGAAACAGACTGGCTCCAGGTTAGCAAGACTATGGCAAGACTGTATACTCTCCCCTTATTTATTCAACTTATATATAGAATATACAGTATATTGAGGGAACCTGGATTGGAAGATGAGCATGATTATAAAATTGGAGGAAGAAACATCAATAACCTGTGCTATGCTGATGACGCTACCCTGATAGCTGAAAATGCAAAGGATCTGCAAGCTCTAGTAATAAAAGTCAAGGAGTACTTACACACTTTGTACACTTGCACAAAGTCAGGGATCTTGTAGGATTAGATTCAGGTGTATGATTAACCA